CTTATAATACATGTCACATCTCTAAACTACTGCAATACTACGGACCTAAAGCATGTAAGTATGTCAATAAGTATGTCAGTAGGGGCTAGGTAACACATCTAATAGTAATGTTCTAATGCATCGATCTGGGCTCGCGGATCTCCCGCGCCTCCTCTCATCCCTTTCTTTATTAAATCGTCCGGAAATCACTAAAGCAGGAGACAACACGTAGCAAGACAAAGCACACACAATATATGTAGCATAATGTACGTATTGACTAAGTAAGTTTAGGGTCCCCCTCCCTCCTCACTCTCGCCTTTGCCTCATGAAGCTTCAGCTGAAGCCGATTCCCCCTTGTCGTTCCCGAACGCCCACCAAGTTTTTGGGATCTCCCATCTCACTTAAGCTTCCAAGGAAACAATAAGAGTAATACCAAACTATACGACCAAAGTCAAGCCCGGACCCCTGGAAAGGTGCCACATAACAATACCAACAAATACCTAAGGCTTAAGCATTGATGTCGTACATATCTAGATTCTAGGTAAATAAACAACCTTCGACTACCAGTATGCCACGGTGCTTTTATATATTAAAATGTTGGCTCTGATTCAAGATCTTAACGTCCTTGACGTGCTTTTCGTCTTCCCCTTATTCCTCTCCAACCTTTAAGGGGTATCCGGGGCCGCGCGTCGTGCGTGTGCGATGGCTGCCGAAGGTCCGTGGTGGGACGGCTTATAACATGTAGGGCTGGTTAGCCCCCATCGTAAGCTACGCTACGCGGTTCCGAATCCCGAGCCGAATTAGACGATACCTACTATATCGAGGCATGTTTTATATTTTGTGTTTACACATTACCTAGGTCTTCATAAATCGACGGAGAAGAGAAGGAACAGTGCTCCTCAAGTAGCAATGATTAATATGATCAATATGTAGATCGTGGAAACGTATGGCTTTGATACCCGATATCCAATAATTGTATTCTTATTAGGCAAAGTCGTCTTCCACCTCGCCACTATACTTCTAGATAGCCGGATTGTGGACGGAGCATATGCGCTTGTTGCCGACCACCGCGTCGGCTAACATCCTACAGCCACAATCAAAATTACGGGAGGTTATGGTTGCAATACATGCAAGACAAACAAACGCCTTCTCACGTCTATCCCTTGCCCATCACTCATTTGCCTCGACCATGCAGATCAGAACCGCTGCAATATAGGATTAATCAAACCATTAACATGTGCCGTGTCACTATCACCAAAGGAATGCGGATCGATTTGGGGGTCTTATTTGTAGTTTATTAATGAATGAGGCAGCCTAAGGATCATGTACAGTTGGTGCAGGTTCGTATATGAGCACCTGACTGTATCAAGCTTCGTCAAATCGGGAAACTTGCATGCCGCACAATTTCCATACCTCAGAAAACGCACTGCGCACTTAAAACGATGCCTAAGTTCATGAACCCCCACCTCAATGCCAATGCCGAGCCACTTCACACTCGGCTACTCCAGTAAATCAGTTCAATACAATACGAGGACTATGGCAAGGCTCGAACTTTGTACCATGTCCAAATAAAGCCAACACTGGCTACCTGGGTAAGCAAGTAAACCAATGAGGCGCATATTATCTCTCTTAAGACCTCCTCGAATTCAGCCGTCGCATACAATTCCCCGTGTATGCCGTCATTAGGCGACACGCCTTCACTGGTAAGGCTGCCGCCGACTACCTTCGGCGTAAATAATCTCCGGCTGACCTGCTTGGGGGCGTTCAATGAAGGAGACTTCTTCGTCTACATGCAGTGGCCTGTTATAGAGACGATCTACTGGACGGGCGCTATATTCGCGTCTGTGTGCATCATGCTCTACCGGTCTGACGCTGAATTCCCTAGCCACCGGAGGCATCACGTCTCTCCTTACCTCAGGGTGAACGCTGGCGGCATAATGTCTGGGAGGCAAATCAGGTTGTATGGTGCCATGTCTGTGAAAGTATGGCACAGCCTCTGCTGGTCGCACGGTCGTGGCTCTGGGGAGGTAGTCTCGAGATATGTCCTCTAGACCCCGTCCGCCAATCGCTCCTCGGACCGGCGCAAAGTCTTGGCTGGGTGGCACCCCAGTAGGCAGCATCGGATAATCGCGTTCGCGATAACTTCTGTAATCAACTCCATACTCTGGTTGTGTGATTACACGTCGGGGAGCATACATAGGCGACGTGCGTCGGTAGACAACACCATCTTCCTCAAAAGCATCTCTAGCCATACGAGACGGAACGCGTGCCGGGACACGTTCATATATGATCTCGCGTTCAACTGGTCGCGGAGCTGGAACAACTGAATGTCGAGAGACCGTGCTGGTACGAGGGGGTTCCATGTATTCGCGACCAAATTGGTCAACTATGATTCGAGATGGGGGCGCAGGAGGCGCCATGGCAGGCGACCGTCGTTCAATGATAATAGGCGATCGTGATCTAGCACGATCAGCATAAGGCCGTACACTCGTTCGGCCATCCCGCGGGTAAGCAGAAAGCTCTCGATACTGGGGGTTCAAGGAATAACTGGCCGAGCGTAAGGGGCGCGACTCGACCGCGCTGTAGGGACCCGCATAGTCATAAGGAGAGCGGACTCGTTCGATGTATTGGACAGGTGCTCCATCGGGTCGTCGTTCCTCGTACAAGGTGCGTTCCAGTCTTTGGCTCACCGGGGCAACAGATTGGGGTAATTGTCTCGAGTACGGATCATCCACTCTCTCAAATTCATAAGGAGCTCGGTCCACGGGTGCATGCGTCGAAGTAAAGGGCTCCCGACGAGTTACAGAAACAGGTCGTTGAATTCGTGGTTCATCATACACTAACTCCGGCTGCTGGCGGGAGTCGGATCGTAGTCGTTTTTGAGGACGGATGAATTGTGGCGCTGACACAGGCGAAGGCGATCGAGGCTCGGGCTTGATGCAAGGAGACCCTGGAACATCTGATACTCTTGGTTCAGCCTTTCTCTTATTCTTCTTGTTGTTCTTTTTCTTGCTTCTCTTCTCTCCCTGAGGAGAGCTCTCAGGGCTAGTGAGAGCTCCATGCCCCTGTCTTAGTGCAGCGACCTTCGTCAGCGTACCAGGTAGGACAGTTATTTCCGGGTCGGACGTAGGCGGTATTCGGGCGGTTGCTAACGACGAAATATGTGCAGGCTGGGGAGCGTACGGCGAGAGATCGTGAGCGCGGACTAATGGGCCTTGAGATTGCTGCATCAAGGCGGGAGCAGGAAGCAAACCAGGGAGACGAGGTCTATAGTCACCAGGCTGGTCGGAATCTGTATTGCCGTTGTCTGACCTACTAGCAGGGCCACTATCTGAGCTGATCACCTGCGGTTCGACGGAACGGTACTGGTGAAACCGTGCGTCCAACGATGATTCGGGGCCTCGGGTAGGCTTAGACGGAATACTAGCGCTCGGCGGCAAATGGCGCGAACTACTGCTTGTGGTCTGGATCGGCTGCTCATTCTGGCTGCTGTGTTGTTGGTATGGAGATGTTAAGGCGTAGACGGATGACCGAGAAACATACCTTGGTAGCGGCTTAGCTACCGGCGCCGCATGTGGTGCACGTTGAGGTGTAACGATATTCTGTACTGGCACATCTTGACTAGTTGTCACATTCTGGACTCGAGGTGAGGCATGCGAGGTAGGAGTCTCGAATGAGCTAGAATAAAATGTATTATCATCAGGAGAATCGCCCGAATCGGAGACAACGGTAGGGTTAGGAATATCGGCGGGTATCGGGGCTGTGTATTGTACGACAGTTAATGCTTTGGCCAGAACATCTGCAAGATCTAAGTCAATATGTTCAGATGGGGAGTGCAAGGCTGATCGCAGTTTCATCTGATCCGCGATTTCTTGCTCGATCTTTTGCCTTTGTCTCTGAAAATACCGTGCTTTAGCATCAACAGTCTGCGCAACTCTCTTATGATCAAAAGGCGTCGAAACGCCTGGGATGGACGTATGTGTAGATGAAGCATTAGGTAAACCATGTACATTAGATGCACTAGCTGCACCAGCTGCACCAGCCGCTACCGCGGCCACAGCTGGTTGTTGCGAGTTGACCTTGAAAGAATTAAGATTGTCCACCTGGTGAGAATTGATATTAGGTGCATGTGCATTTTGAGGGGCTTGGGGTTGCCCGAATGATGACGACGTTGACGATGCAACGCGTTCTGTCGCGAGAGAAGCAGAGGAGACCTGAGCCTGAGCTTGAGCTTGAGCTGGAGTAGGAGTCTTAGCAGCAACCTTGATACGAGGATGCTTGCCAGATACTATGGTATCTCGAAAACTGATAACTTTTTGATATTCGCGGATCTCTTCCAGATCAGCTGGTGTTAGGTTTCCATTCTGGCTGCCCGGCTGATAGCCTGACCCTATGGGTTCCTTCGGAAAGCTAACTTGTGCCATGATTACGAGGAATCAGCTAGGCAAAAGGACCATCCCATAGGTCAAGGACTAACACCGCGCAGGAATGAACGAGAACAATAAATTGTGTATACGATTACGATGTTGATTTTTCTTTGTTGAACGGGTCGCAGATTACCTGTGATTGAAGATATCGCCTTGACGGTGATAAATTCAAGAGTGTTGCGTCAAGACGAAAGGATGACGAGGAAGAGAATTAAAAAAAAAAAAAAAAAAGAGACGTGTCGCATGACGAGGTAAGCTCTGGTTGGAATTTCAAATGTTATTTTTTTTAGGGTGGATATGGTAGGTGTAACCGTACATTAGTAACCACTAATTTACCAGGTAGCGGTAGCATGGGAAAGTGCCTCCTATTAATATTTTATGTATTGTACGGAGTACTTCGTACATATTTCGTACCAGGGACGTAATTTCCACAACTTGGGGAAAAAAATTATTAGCTTCACAGGTCCTACAACTTTGCATTTTTGCAGTTTCCTTAACAAATAGACAAACTCATAACTTTTACATGAAACCAAAGGCGGCAAAACGATAGAAGCATCATTCGTAAGAAATTACAAGAAAACGACAAAAAAAGGTTGGCGGTGCTGGGAATCGAACCCAGATTTACACGGGAGCAGTAATAGGTCCACAAGTCCACAACGTGTTGTACTGACCATTATACTACACCACCCAACGAGATCGTGCAAAATCACAGTAGAATCTCAAAGCTCAGCTGCCATGAAGCTCCGACTTTACACTGCAAACTGACCAAACAAAAAGGCCTATATATCTTGCAGATTGAGTGAGCTAGGACCCGAGGTTTGACCGGGACCATTCACAGACTAGACTTGAATATACTTAGCCAATCAAGGTTAGAGTTCTATTAGTGTCTAGTACTATGTATGGGCCTGGGCGGGTCCGGGATAGCGCTGGCTGGCTGGTAATACAAGGTATATTGGTGTATTCTCTGCTTTCAGATTCAGATTGCTTCATCGCTCGTGATATGCCTGTGCCGTCTCGCCGGTGACTCAACCCGGACTTGATTCTAGCATACCTCCCTACTAGCTGCGAAGATTTATTTCGGTAAGTTATGAGATATCCATAAATCACGAGAATTGGTGTGGGATTTCGAACAAAAATATATACCTGCTACCTATAATCTATGTCACATGTAACTACAATTGTAATAACTACTACCTACATACTAAGTCTCTAGACTATTCTACTAAATTCCCCAATCACTTCGCCTTCTATTATCCCCTCGCCATAGGCCTGAGTCGTCTCTTTGATTCTTGACTAGAGCTCAACAACCTCACTCATCAGCACATTTAAAGTGCTTTCACTTTTTACCCAAAATCTCTCATATTTTGAGCGGATTTTAAACTCATTATATCATTCATATAAAATATAAGACTTCATCTTCTGCACATTCACTCCCCTCTCCTGGCACACGGATACATTGAGCCATGGGGTCCCAAACAACAGAGCCCAATGAGGCAGCATCGAGGCCTGTCTTATTCTTGTAAGTCATCCAGTCACCATAATATTCAAGGTAAAGACTAACACTTCAGCTAGCGATATTGACAATTGCCTCTATCCCAGAAGTACGTCATGTCACCATAAAACCAATTCAAGGGAGTCATGAAAGCAACGACTCATGCTAACTATGTAAAATAGGCACCAAAGTCCACGACCTGATGGCTGATCTAATAGACGTATATTTCGCGACGCATCTCGGACTTCCGGAGGAGGAAGCCGTCAAGCTGCACAAGGAGTATTACAAGAACTACGGTCTCGCAATCGAAGGCCTAGTGCGGCACCACCAGATCGACCCCCTGGACTACAACGCCAAAGTCGACGACGCTTTACCCCTAGAAGGCATCATCAAGCGGAATCCGCAACTACGAAAGCTGCTCGAGGACATTGACAAGTCTAAAGTGAAACTATGGCTCTTGACCAATGCCTACGTCACACACGGCCGAAGAGTTGTCAAGCTCTTAGGAATCGACGATTTGTTTGAGGGTCTCACGTATTGCGACTATTCGAAAGTCCCTATCATATGTAAGCCGCATAAGGATATGTTTGCCAAGGCGATGAAGGAGGCAGGAGTAGAAAAAGCTGAGGATTGTTATTTTGTTGGTAAGTACATCTTCATCAGCTATTATACGCATATTTAGAGCCATGGCAGCTGACTTGATCTAGATGATTCATATGCAAACGCAGCTAGTGCGCAAGAGTTGGGATGGGCATCGGTTCACTTGGTTGAAGAGGGTCTACCAGTCCCAGAGACTCAAGCATCTAAATATCAAATAAGGCATCTAGAAGAGCTACGAGACATATTTCCTCAATTCTTCAAATCTTCAAACTCAGCATAGATAGCGCAAGACATAGAACCTAGCGGATATGGGTCGCATAGTATGGCTCAGGTGTATAGAGGAGAGCATTAGCATCAGAAGGGTAACAGAGCCCATTCGCATAGAATTAACTATTGTTAATGGATAGTCTAAAGTAGACCTCTTTTCTCCCTTTCATAGCCTGACAGAAAGCAACACAATGTCCAGAACGCCTAACCTAACCTGGGTATCATATCAACATCCCACCATGCATCGTCCAATATTCACGGGCGTCTAATGCTTCGGATGACGGCGTCCAGTTTCGCCATGGTATCTTCCTTCTCTTTGATCGCTTCTTGTCGTTGCGCCTCGGCGGCCTTGAGTTCCTCTTCTAGTTCCTTGATATTTCGCTCTTGATCTTGTTCGCTGTTGTCGAGACCAGGGAGTATGGAGATGAGAAGCTCGATTTGTTGTTCTTTGGTGATGAGGTCTTGGGCAAGCTCGAGTTGCGACGCCTTGAAGACGTCTTCGGGATGCGAGTCCACTGAACAGTACATCAGCATGTATGCGATAGAAACATAGGCCCTTTCTATGAAGACTCACCCTCCTCCTGACCAGGCTCTAGTTTTACATCTCGAATTTGATCGCCGGGGCCGAGGAGTTCGAGGTTGTGATGTCGGTTGATGTAGTGGATGCTGGCAACGAATTGCTGTGCGAGCTGGAGTTTAGGGTGTTAGCCAATGCCAGAGAAGGTTATTACTATATAAAAGCTAACCTGATCAACAGCATCTTGTAGTTGAGTAAGTCTATCGCCCATGATGGAAGCTGTCCGAGTTGGCGCAATGTGATGATCCAGATAATTGCAGCTCCGAGCTTGGAAGTATATAGAAATGTACAATTGAATCGGTACATGACTGTGGGGCTATTTATCTCCCGAACCGGCACAAGACAGCAGGTACATGTATCCATAACAATTTTAAGAGATGCATCCAATCAGATTCTGACAAAGGCCTGCAAAGGCTTCCTTGGCCAATCAAACCCCGTTTTAACTGGGCCTTCTGTGTAACTACTGTCTTGTGCCGGTTCAGGAGATGCAGGAATGCAACCCAAACCTTTGGAAACTGAGCTAAGCTCTTATCGATAAAGAATAATATCTGCATCACAGCATTTGAGCATCTAGTACCGCATACCTTCATAAAATTCAAGATTTTTTAAGCTTTTCATGTGATTCGGGTTGATCATCTCATGTCAATCTCACCAGCTCTCAATCTCACTGGGATAATTAGGGAATGGAATGAGGTCTATTTTACACCACCGCCCAACATGGCGCCAACACCTGTCATCACCACCAACCCCTTACATACAACCCCATAACCGCCCTCTCAAATTTCACCATGTGCGCCTATCCTCCTCCACCTCCACCTCCCCCTCAAACCACACCCTCCTGTACCCAGAAAACCCAGGAAGCAGCGGCTCCCACCATGACCTCGCCTCCTACGCCGCCTACGCCGCACGCACCGGTTTAGACGTCACATCCAAGACCTACGTCGGCACACGGTACGAGTACACCGTAGCCGCCGCCCTCGCACCCCTAGGCTTCGACCTCCGCCGCGTCGGCGGCCGAGACGACTGCGGGATCGATCTCCTGGGTGTATGGCGCCTACCCATCCCCTCATACAGATCCCCCAAGTCCTCCCAACCAGTCCCCCTGCGCGTTCTTGTCCAGTGCAAAGCCGCCTCCGCGCAGAGCACCAAGATCGGTCCGCACCAGGTCAGGGAGCTGGAGGGCGCTTTCGCTGGCGCGCCGCCCGCGTGGCGGGGGTCTTTTGCCAACTCGCCTTACCCTACGTCTAGTCCCAGCAGCCCTATCCTGGGCTTCCTGGTAGCGCAGAAGCCGGCGACGAAGGGTGTGCGCGATGCGTTGGGACGCAGTCGCTGGCCCATGGGCTTCGTGTCGTGTACAGCGGACGGGCGGCTGGAGCAGATGGTCTGGAATGTGCGGGCGGAAGAAGAGGGGCTTGAGGGGTTAGGTGTTGCAGTCCGGTTTAGTGAGGGTGAAGGTGAGGATGGGGCTGGGGGGTCGGAACAGAGGTTGGTTTTAACCTGGAGAGGGAGGCCTTGTGATCCGGTGCGGGATTTGTGATACTAGGGGAGTTGAAAGAAGGCGATTCATTTCACTAGAGGCTAGATTCGAGATGAGGATAAACAGGCCTCTGTGTTACCCTACTATTAAACCGCATGCTATTAGATAGCACTACTCCAATATCCATGATAGAAAGTACTATACTCGTAGTTTGAAATCATGACCCTACGTTATCTGAAAGGTACCACCCAAATTCCAATCTCCGTCCTAAATCTGCGTGCTCTTGGTATATATGTATGTATATGTGAAAATATGCGAGAAAAAAAAAGCATCCACCAATCCTATAGTAAAGATACTTCCTACCAACACCATTTTAAATGAACGCAAGCCATCCGTTAATTCGTCGCTTTATTCAGGTCGATACCTGCATAAAAAAGTATAGCATATGTCGGCACCCGCTCTCCCAATCGCTCTGCTGCCGCTCGAATCCCGAGAACGGCCACAACAGCGGCTACCCGCCGATTCTGAAACAAGCAGATCCCGCCTCTGCCGCTGTATGCAACAGATACCTGCAGAAAGCGACCCCCACCCTTATGCCTTTTCCTTAAAATTCCAAAGCCAAAACCTAGAACCGATGCCGATCTCAACTACCTGTCCAACCAACCGCCTAATTCAAGGGTAGGTTGGTTTGCTTTCCAGGCGGCCTAATCGTTCCAAATCGCAGCCTTCGCGCGATCCTCCTCCTCCTTCCTCCGCCTCTCCGCCTCGCGCTCCTCCTCGCGCCTCTTCCTCTCCTTCTCCCTGACCGCGCGGTCGTACGCCCTCTGCTCCTCCGTCGGCCGCGGCGCCCGCACGCCCAGCGCGCTGGCGATCATGCGCCGCGCCACCGCGTCCGTCTTCTCCGGCCTCCTGCGCTCGCCCGGCCCGCCCTCGCTGCCGCTGCCGTCCGCGGGCGAGGCCGGGGGCGACAGGCCCGTGGGCGACAGCGTCGACGCCGATTGCCAGGGGGGAACGCCTGGCCCGCTGTAGGACGGCGAGGCGGGCGTCGGAGGGGGCGCCGCGAAGCCCGAGTCGTTGATTTTGCTGCTGCCGCCGCCGCCGCCGTTCCCTAGGGATGGAGAGGGGGAGGTGATGTCTCCTGGTTCTGGGTCGGAGACTTCCTCGTCTTCCCAGGAGTCGGCTACGGGAGCTGCTTTCTTGGACTTGGATTTCGGGGGGTTGAGGGAGAGATTTGACATTGCTTTGGTAGCCATGTTGATTTTTTCTGGTATGAAT